CCCCTCCCCTCCCCTCCCCCCCCCCTCCCCCCCCCCTCCTTCTTTCTTTCTTTCTCCTCAGTCTCCTGTGCCCCCATCTCCCTGCCCCCCCCCCCCCCCCGCCCCCAACCTGCGTTTGTCCACCTTTCTTTTCTCCTTCTTTCGTCCTAACCCTCCCCTAGTTCCTTCCTCAATTTCTTGGTCCCTGTCGGGTTCTCCTCTCGGTGTCTGTCCCTTCTTCTCTCCCTCTCCAGGATCTGTCCCCTCCCTTCTCCTCCTCTCAGCGGCTGCCTCCCTGGCGCCCCCTCCTCATCATCTCGGGAGATGAATATGTCGCCTTATTGGATGCCGAGGCCAGAGCCGGGTGACGGGGCTCGGTGAGAGTCGCGCATTTTCTTCCTGCATATTGAGGGTATGGTAATGAGCACGTTTGCATTGTTGCACGGCGCTGCTTTTCCTGCCGCAGTTTGGAGTGGGCGAGGGTGGTGTGGACCCCAAAGAGCCCGGCCGTGGGTACCGGCCCTGGCGGCAGCAGCTGTCCCTGGCGCTCGGGGCCCTGGGGAGGAAGTGACCTCGCCGAGCGCGGGGCCCGGCCTTCGCCGGCTTGGCCACAAAGGCGGGCCCTGCTCCCCTCATTAAAGCCTCGTTATGGGAACCCCCGCCTGGCTCGCCGTGGCTCCGGCGCGCTCTCCGCCCAGCGGCCTCTGAGCCCCTCCCCTGGCGTTTAGAGGCCTGTGATGGAGCGCCACCGGGAAATTAGCGCCTGACAACGTCGTCTATTGGCAATAAATTGTTTGCAATTCCGGGTGACACATCGCGGGATCAAACCCAGCCTCAACCTGTAGGTGCTCCGCTCGTTCCTCTTCCATCTTAGAGGGCGCATTGGCGTGGCTTGACCAGGGATGGTGCTCCCAGGACCCTTCTGGGGTCGGGAGCCGGTTCCATTCTGGGCTTCTCCCCGACAGAGCCAGACTCGGTCTCCAAGAGCAGAGGTCCTTCCCCGAGGTTGGCCGAACTCGGGACCCTCGACCCAGGTGCACCTCCCAAAGTGAAGGTTTATCAGAGCCAAGGCGCAAACTGAGCTGAGACCAAGGGAACCGACGTGAGTTGCTGAGAAATCAGAAGCCAAGAGCCTGGTTCTAGACACCGTCGCGCAGAGGACCCTGGACAGGAAGCGTTTGCTCTAACCCCGTGTTCCTTCCTGCTCCCTGTCAGGGGAGTCAGAGTTCCCGGTTCCAAAGAAAAACGTAAAAGTCTGACCTTGCCTGGAATTGCCTGAGGTCAAGTTTCCCCAACTTCAAATTTTTGCTACCACCTCTACTCTTTATTGACTTAACATTTTTTCCTTAAATCAGGTCATTTTAAAAACTCAAATATGTATTTTTTGGATGAAGAGTTGATACTACGATTGGTATGACTGTAAAAAAAATTAAAATAATAAAAGGAGCTGTTAGTCACCAGAAAAGGAAATTGTAGAAGATAAAGAGCTAAAAATCAAGCACTATTCATACATTTTGCCCAGGCTTGCTTGGGAAAGACTTCTAGGGGTTCAAGAGCATGTATGTATCATTAGCAAATGCTGAGGTGTTAAATAGTGAATCTTTCTAGGAAGAAATGAGAACATTGAAAAGAGAATACTTCTTACCCTTCAGTATTCATTTAATTCTCTGCCCTCACTATCTCAAGTCATATTGAGGTTCCCAAGAGCAGCCCTGCTTTGGGATTCGCCTGCATTATTCTGTTGAAGATTATGTAAATAAATTAAGATTAAAGCATAACATACTGAGTTATTATTATTATTTACCACATAATTGTGTTAAGCATTTTAAAACAGTATCACAATTAATTCTTACACTAGGCTTGCAAAGGAGAGACTCTACAGGGTGGCTATGTTTGGTTGTATAGGATGTTCAATGAACAAAGGGCACCCAGCAGAGGTGCTAAAGTCAGCCTTTCTGGGATCACTAAATTGTGTGTCTTGGTTTAGAGCTACACTGGTGGAAAAATACCTTTCTCTAATTTGCATAATTTTGTGCAAAGTTGGGGTATGACCTAGCCCTAGTCTTAGGGATTGGACCAGTGCAGCTGTGGGAGCTGGACAAAGCCCAGATTGGAACTCTGTCTACTATTCTTAATCTTGATTCCTTTGGGAGGAAGATCAGGGTCCTTTGGGGATTTGGGAAGAAGGATTATTGGAAGAGTGGCCCCTGGTTTGATTGAAGGAAAGGGAAGCCAGGACACCTGGATTCCCCTTCCCCTCAATCTTTACACTTAAGCAAATGTGTGAAGAGGAGCTGGGCAAAAAATATCACTGGGGTCAAGGATCTATTTTCTCTCCCAGGGAAGGGACTGGAGGAAGGGAAGAAGGTGTCTTGGTTGGCTGAGGCCTACCTGCCTCTGATCTGCTTTTTTGCGGGGAGTTCATATCATGAGCTGATGGGTTAGTGTCCTGCCTTGATCTGATCCACACTGGAAATTTCAGATTCTTCAAGACAATCAGGAATTGCATTACACAAGAGGCTGTCAATCAAGGGTTACCTCTGGGAACACCCTCTTTTTTGGCATCCAAAGCGGCTCCCCCTGCCCACCCCCCCTCTGCCCACCTATTGATTAGATTGCTTGAATTCTATTTTAAAACCTATTTAAATATTTAGATCTCAGCATTCATTTGCACACAGAAGGCTCTTTTCGGAGAGCAGTCCTCTGAAGTTCATGGCAGCAGCTGCCCATTCACCTTGACACAATCCAGTCCCCACTTGGGTCCACTCTTCTCAGCATGGACTGGGTTTGTCAGCCCTGCTTCTCAGGCCCAGTTGCAGGAATGGGACACCCTCGTGGGTACACAGAGCTCCTCCCTCCTGTGGGAAGGACATGGTGCAGAGCCTGACCAAGGTTGGACCTTCAGCTTCCTCTCCTGCCTTTCCTCTTGGCCCCCTCGTAGTTCGTTGGCGACTCTTTTCTGGGGTGGAGCAAGGTTGAAGGTAAACTTGTAGGGGCTCCTGGGAAATGAGGAGCTCTGTCCCAACAGGGCCTCTTCTCAGGCCTCTGGAGAGAGAATAGAAAGGGTGGCCTTGCAGCCACTATGAGCTCAAAGGTCCTACTCTCTGGATTCCTTGTCCTTAGCCCCAGCCCCTTCTTAGTTCCTCTGCACCACCTTAAACATGTCAAAGCAGAGAGTCTGTTTCTTCTCTTCTCTTTCTTTCTCTTTGCAAGAAATTTTACGGGAGGACACCCTCGTGCCTCCAGCTGTGTGAGGGGCTGGCGTTGAATGGTGAGCTAGAGGGAGCTTTGCTCCATACAGCTGACTTTTAGTGGAGTGATCAGGTTCTAAACAGGAAACGAAACAGGGCCATCTTAATAGGGTTAGGTTCTATGAACCGACACAACCAGTAAGTCCGAGTATGCAGGCTTGGGCAGTGTTTCAGATCCAGAACCTCCCCAGAACCTGGGAATGTCCACGCCTTTGGCAATTGGGCCACTGCAGATGTGACTGGCTGAGGTCAGACTTTTGCTGGAGTTTCACTTCATACTTGAGTAGGATCTTCATCCAATATGACTCGGGTCTTTATGAGAAGAAGCCGGGGACATGGGCAGGACAGCCAGCTGAAGACAGGGAGAGACTGGGGAAGTGCAGCTGTAAGCCAAGGGCTGCCGAGGGTGGTGGCAGCCACCAGGAGCTAGCAAGGGCCAGAAGATGTCTCCCCTGTCACCTTCAGGGACAGCGTGGCCTTGTGGATGTGGATACCTTGATTTCAGATTCTCGTGCCAGAACCACGAGAGAATATATTTCTGTTGGGTTAAGCCACCCACTATGAGTTCACTTGTGACAGCAGCCCTGGCAACCTGACACACAAGGTGAGGTGACAGGAGATAGAATTTTTGCGTTTCAAAGACAGAGGTCACAAAACATCATCCTGGGGCCGCCAACGCCCCCACGTTTTGACCGTCTGGCGTGATTTCAACCTTCTTTTCAGGTTGGGTTATTGAATCAACCCATCCGGCCTGGCCACAGCAGCAATCCACCCTCACATCTTCATGGCCGACCGTCACCTCCCACTTCACAGGTTGCTGGCTGTGGCTTGGATACACGTTCTCTTTGTCCCTCGGGGACTGTTGCTGGGCGTCCTACGGCAGCCACACGAGGGCATGCTGAAACCCTCAGCGGCTCTGAAGGCTCTGCTTGAGGGGACCGTGGCTACTGCTGCTCACCCTTCCTTAGTCAAAGCCATCGTGGGGCCACGCTTGAAGTCCAAGGGCAGGGCTGGGTGGCTTCCCGTGGGGAGGATCACTCTGGGGACACCTCTCTGTGCCACTTCAGACCTTTCAGCTCCACCTCCTGCGCAGCCCCTGGTCCAGCAGGTGTGGACAGGACCTCGCCAGCAGCCACCATGGCACACTCTTGTCTCTCTGGAACGTCAGCAGGGATCTCACGCATGTGACCCCTTCCAGCACAGGACACCCTTGGCCAAGGAGAGGGACCAAATGGCTCAATGCCTCCTGCTCCATTCCAGGCCCTTCCGAAACGTGTGCCCCAAGCTCCTTAGAAGGTCCTGGCAGAGTCTCGTGCCTGTCCCAGGGCCAACCCAATGGCACATCCTGGGGTAGCTTCCCCTTCCATCCCTGGGATGATTTCCGTGATTTCAACCACAGGGTGAGCTCGGGAGCAGATTCTGTAGTCCCACCTCAGTCTTCTGGTGACTGTGGCCCTTGTTGACCACTGGATGACAACCCCTGAGAGACCACTGAGCCAGAGGCCCCTAACTGAGCTACACGTAGAGTCCTGACCCAAAGAACACTGTTCAAAGGCAGGGTTAGCAAACTTCCAAGCACGGGGTTTTGTAAATAAAGTTTTATTGGAACCCAGTATTACCCATTCATGTACCCATTAGCTATGGCGGTTTTTGTCTGATCGCAGCAGTAACTCAGTAGGATTTGGAGCCAGATCCCCTGGGTCAAAGTCCAGCCCAACTTCTTAGCAACTGCATGACCTTCAGTAGAGGACTTAGCTCTCTGTGCCTCAGTTGCCTCCTATGAGACAATAATAGTCTCTACCTCATAGCATCTCAATGCAGAGGAGTTAACATGTCAAGAATAATGTCTTGTACCTAGTGACTGCTCCATTAATGTTGGAAAACACAGTCACAGTCCAGGAACCAAAAGCCTCTTTTCAGAGGGGATCATGATAATGGCAAGATGGACATTTGGTATATGCTGATCAAGCACTAACCAGGTTCCAGACTCTAGAGTAGATCTTATGCATGCAGACAGGGCTGGCTTCAGGGACATGTGACCAGCTCTCAGTATCTCATGCTTGGGAAGGTCCTGAGCAGAATGCTCAGCGGTGGCCTTCCTGAATTTTTTTTTTTTTTTTTTTGCGGGGGTCGGGGTGGGGTGCCAGTGATTGAACTTAGAGGCACTTAACCACTGAGCCACAACCCCAGCTCTATTTTGCATTTTATTTCGAGACAGGGTCTTGCTGAGTTTCTTAGTGCCTCACTTTTGCTGAGGCTGGCTTTGAACTTGTGAGCCTCCTGTCTCAGCCTCCCGAGCTGCTGGGATTACAGGTGTGCACCACCGCACCTGGGCATCCTGAAATTTTTAAGTTTTGCAAAAGGACAACTCATTTTTCATTTTTCACTGGCCCCAGCAGATGATGCACCTGGTCCTGCACACAGAGGTGGATACAGCAATCCCCAGGAGCCCTGCATGCCTGCTACATGATCGATGGACCTACGGTAATTACCTCACAGATCTCTGTGCATCCTGTGGAGCACGGGCCTAGGCAAACGCTCCCTGTGCTTCTTGGTTGGGTAGAGGCATTCAAGATAACCTACTTGAGGCAGCAAAGAAAACCACCTCAAAGACCAAGCCTGTCTTCCACTATCAACACCCAGAGAAGAAAACCAGTAGGGAAAGAGGGTCCCATGATGCCTTTGGTTAAGGCAATGCTGCCTGGATTTATTTTCTGCAAGAGGAATAAGGTCTTGAATTCTGAAATATTTTTGAAACCTTTGGAAAATCCCACTTTAATCACTGATGACAGTTTGACATTTCTCCAGCTGTTTAGAAGCAGTAGACAAGTCAAGTTGCTCTGCAGGGCACAGGTTGGCATGCTGGGAAATGTGGGGGTTCTCACCTCCCTCCCTTTCCTTGGTTCCTTGTGGCTTTGAGGAAAGAAGAAGAAGAAACAAAACAAAACAAAACAAAAGAAACAACCAACAAAACCAGGCTGTTGCAATTTTCACGCCACCCCACGCCATCTGCATTTGCTAAATTTCTCATGAAAATGGAATCTTAATTTGGGTGACCTTCCCTTTTGTCTTCCCACATCCATGGGCTCACCTCCTTCTCACCACTATAGGAAACCTTGTGCCTTTCTGTCATTAGACCCAACTCTCAGTTGAGAGGGTGGCTTTGGGGGCTCACCAGGGCAGTGAGCATCTTTAGATTTCTCACCTGCATGCTTCATGTTGCATTAAAGACATGGGTGTGGGCTGCAGGGATCTCGTGTAACCAGCCTGTTGATTAAGAGGATGAGCTCAAATCCCAGCTCTGCTTCTTCTTCTCCAGTAGCCTTCAGGAAGTGACTTGGCTTCTCTGTGCCTCTGTTTCCCCACTTTAAAAATGCCACAGGAGAACTCGATGACTTGATATGTGTCAAGTGCCAAAGTCAGGAATGGTGAAGCATGCACACAATGCCAGTGACTTGGAAGGCTGAGGCAGGAGGATGGCAAGTTCAAGGTCAGCCCAGGCAACTTAGGGAGACCCTGTCTCAAAA